CTATTGTGTTATTAAGGGGCCAAAATATAAATACATAATATTAAAATTATTTACAATTTTTTAACTTAATTGACAGGCTTAATATGTATGAATAAGTTGAGGTTGATATGTATCCTATCAAATAACATATGTTTTGTGTAGGAGATTGAGATGGGTGGTAAAATTGAACGTGTGAAACTTTTTTGCTTAACATACACAAAAAAGTATGGATCTTACATGAATATCAAAACCCAAGAAATTGTGGTAATTTGTAACATCTATTTTAACAAAAAATAAATATTTACTCTTTTTAACATATTATCAATTAATCATTAAACTTGATAGTTAAATATGACTAATTTATAGGAGAAAGTGAAAGAGAAAATGATTGTTGAAATTTAAGTAGCATCTGATAGTTCTCTCAACATGCAAGAATTGAAAAATCGAATATTCATAGAAGTTGCTGGAAAGAAAGGCATGGATGCGTCCGAGGCCTTTGATTGGGTCCAACACCATCTACCTAATATGGACATAACTCTTAGTAATTTATATTTTCAATAAGTCAGTCTAAGTGAGACATTTCGATATTGAGAGAGGAGTTACAAACTATACAATAACATTTTCAGCAAATGAAAGCAGAAAGAGAATAGGAGAGTGTCAAAATTGAGGAAGAACGTGTTAGAATGGAGCAAAAATATGCAAAATTTCAGTACTTGCATGATCGATTTGATCATCTTATGAATTTTGTGCAACAATTTTCAGAAACTTATCTCAGTGATCCACCAACTCAAGTATTATATTTAATAAATATTTATATTTTTTAATATAAAAAATCTTACAATAAAGTGTTAAAAATTGTATGCTATTATTCAGTAGGTTCTTGAGTACGCTAGTGATCAAGACGAAAAAATTTCTTCATCAATTAGCAGCCTTCAAAATCTATGCAGTCATCAATTTCATATATTTTAATTTTTATTTTGTTAATATATTAAAAAAATTTGAATGTTATTATACTAATTATTAAATTTTGTGTTAATTATATGCATATTTAAACGTGAATTAAGTTTATATTAATTTTAGTTTCTGAATTTAAGCTCGTTTATAAAAATAATAAATATTAATAGAAATTTTTTATTTTTAAAAATTACATTTATTAATTTCACGGCGTTTGTGTTCAAGAATGTCATTAAATGAATAATTTAGTGACGTTTGTACTATAAAATATCACTTAAAAATAGCAGTGCTCTTACTAAAAAATATGCTAAACTAGCGACATTTTTTTTATACAAATGCCATCAAAATAATGATTTTTTCTTACAAAAATATCATTAAATTAACGACTTCTCAAATATACAAATGCTACTAAAATAATAACGTTTTATAAAAAATATCGTTATTTTTCACTACACGTATATAATTGACATTTTAATTAATATTTTTCGTAAAAACCACGAATTTTTTTAGTAATATTTATAAATACCACTAAATGTTAAAAAAACACCAGTAAAAACTTAAACCCCAGTAACGAGGGTATAATGTCGTGGCTATATATAAGGAAGGACCCTTTGGAGTGTTAGAATTGCAAACTCAGTTCCCCACAAAGGAACGAACATAGCTTTGCAGCGAATAGCAGCTCACCGAGAAGAGGCTGAGATCTACCATGGGCCGCTTTTTGGAAGTAAAACTCACTGGAACTCCTCGACGAGTTCCGTCTGCCCAAAGGGCTGCTGCTTTGAACGATCTCGTCGAGGTCGGGTGCAACCGGAGCAGAGGGTTCGTCTGGTTGACACGGTTAGCAGAAGAGATTGGAGAACAAATTCAAGGCGATTGGGAAAAACGTCTCGTATGAAACCGAGTTGACAGCGTTCATTGAGGATCGTCCGATGCAGAGGTTGACAGGTTTCAAAACCAAGGAGCTGCTGATCTGGGTTACTATTTCTGATATTTCTGATAGTAATCCTAGCAAGACCACTTTTTCTACACCCACGGGGATGTCACGGATTTTTTCGGTCGCAGCTTTTGAAGCTGAAGGAAAAGAGAGGAAGTGAGGGTTTTTCTTTTCTTAGTATCTACATCTGATTACACTAATGTCGTTACCCAAAAATAATTTAATGAATATTTGTGTTTTTATGTTGTCTCAAACTCTTAACGTGTGTTTTTTCTTAAACGAGATTTTAGGTTTTTTTTTTTTTTTTAATCTATTGAAATTTAAAATTCCATTAGAAATAGTTTTCAAATGTCGAACGATATAAAGAACAACTCTAATCAAATGTTCTACTCAGTTCTCACTCTCCCCTTTCTCTCCTAAAAATTTAACAGGATGAATTTGTTTTTAGTGGGTTTAAATTTCCAAGAATTAGAGAATTAGACCAAAACCCCTGGAAATGATGATTTCTAGGCTTTATTACCGGAGTTGGGTAACATTTTAGCAAGACAACGTACCTTTTTATGGCATGCACAAATAAATATGAAGCCGATGAAAGCCAATAAAATTAACCATAAATAAACCTCTTTGATGTGGCTAAAGTTATTGGTCATTTCTCACAGTTGCAAATATTATCAAAGTCATCAGAACATAAACATTCTAATTTCTAGATTCATAAACAGATTGATTTGTTCCTTCTTTACCAGAAAAGAAGAAGAAAGAACATGAATTAAGATCAGTACTGCTGTTCTTTTGACATACAACTCTCCAACTGGGTTGATTTATACGAATTGAATCGCAATTGCTAGGAAAGAAACCCATATTTTCCACTTCATGCATGGAGCACACGCTACGAAAAAGCTCCTATTCCACGAGACAAGAGCCCTGCAAACGATGCGAATTCACATGCCTCCTTCCAATTTTCCCGGCTACGTATTAAATTTACAAATAAATCACCATATTGCGTGTAATGGACTAAAAACATGCTTCCATATTGTCAAAGCAACAAACATCTTAGTCGTAGGATTGGGGTATCTTAACTGGTAGCCATTAATGTTGGCTTTGTATTATATATAGGTTTTCTAGAGTTCAAACTGAATTTGACGAATGGACTGTTGAAAGTCAAAAGGGTGTCACTTATATTATGACCAAGAAAAGCAGTATCACTTAAAGCCCTTGAGCCAGCTTGAACTTATCTTCCTATATATAAATGGCATTTTTTATTATTATTACTTATTGCTGGATTTGTCAGCATTTGAACCTAAGCCATATTTCTCAAGGGTTTAGTCCAAAGACCAGTCATTTAGGTAAAAGACATTGTTAATTCCGCCATAGGTAACACATAATTACAAGTTGATTATTGGCTATCCTATCATATCGAGATTGAAACTACTTACGATGGATGCTTATTTTTATGCAATTGTTTTGAAATTTATATTTTTTTCCTATTCTTTTGCAAATATATTTAAAAACAGAAAATAATGTAAGAATTATTTATAAAAAAATTAAACATATTAAATAATATTTTTTAAAATTATGATAAATTTAAATACTCATATTAAGTACAAATAAATTAAAAAAGAAAAATTATTTTAAAATTAATTTTAAATTGAGATGAGATGTGTATAGAAAAAACTTTCCTAAAGTTGTTTTGGTATTTATATATTTTTTTCACATTTTTTGTGTAAAATATATTTAAAATCTGAAGATAATATAATAATTATTTATCAAAAATATTAAAGGTATTAAATAATATTTTCAAAATTTGTGATAAATTTAAATATTTATATTAACTTCAGATAAATTAAAAAAGATAAATTATTTTTAAATTAGTTTTAAATTAAAATGAGTTGATATACAGGAGAAAGAAATTTCATTAAAATTTAAATTGATTTTTGATTAAATTTTAAAATTTTGGATCATTTAATATTTTTAAAATATATTTTTTATAAATAATTTAAAATTAATAATATCTTATATATCATTATAATGAAAAATTTTAGAAATTATCATACGTATCGAAAAAAGAAGCTATTCACGTAATTGTTCACATCAATAATTGTTATCCGATAACTATATATGTTATAATATATATATATATATATTTATATATATGATGCATAAGGTTAAATCATCTTAAACAAACTTAAGCTTTGGGCATTGTTCAATCATCTTAACTATCTAAGTTCATGTATTGTTCTTTTGTAAAGCTGAAATTATTAATGTCATTAAAAGTTACTTAATAACCGATTTGCATGGATTCGTAACAAATCACGTAAGGATAAGAAGTATTCAAATTAAACAAATGGAATTGATCAAACAAAATCCTACTCTAATGCATTCATTTATTTAAATTTCGTAATCTGTTTTGTATAGCTTTTCAATTTTGTAATTTTATCCTTTTATTATTTTTGAATAAAAGAAATTATAATCTAAAAATAAAAAATAAAAATGTTATTATTTGAATTTCAACCTTCTAAATGCTACTTCTTAATTATAAGTATATGATCCGATAAACTTAAAATATACATGTCAATGAACATGACAATAAGCCTGCATTTTCAACTTCTCTCGAGCTTAAATCTTCATAATACTATAAAATTTGGAAACTTGAAGTAATTAATAATAAAGGAAATAATTGGTTTTAAACTATCCATAACTTGATGAAAATCAAAGGCCATACGAGCTTTTCCAAGCGTAGAAAATAAGTGCTTCTTTAGCTTATTGGATCAACCAAACACCCCGAAGTCCCTTGTTATTAAATTAGAGTACCAGTTTTGGAGCTAAATTTCCTAGTCCAATTTAAACAGCCTTTCTTAACCATCAATAAGTATGAGACTCATAATGAGCTTGTCCATTGTAGGGTGAGCTGCTTTGAAAATTTGATTAAAAACTGTTGAAAAGAGACAAGAAAAATGGCATTGAATGATGCCAAATTGAATTAAAAAACTCAGCTTATCTTCGTGATTTTTAACTTTCATATTGAGGTTCCCCATAAAGAATAATGTACAAACAAAAAGTAATCCAAATTCGGGATTCCCCTGCTACACCAGAGTGACCAAATGGTTATCATTTCTTTAACAAATTTAAGGTCCAAAGTTTAAATCTCATCTTTCGCTTGACTTCTCATTTGTAACAAATAAAATAGTCCTAGAAAATGTAATTAAACTATGTAAATTGCACAAGAATTCCCTCTCTTCTTTTTGTTTTATTTTTGAGACATAAGATAAGTTTATCATGAGCTCAAATCCATGAGATTATTTGCTCCCAAAAAATTCAAAAAAAAAAAAAAAGTAGTTGAAAAGAGAAAAAAGGAAATGACAGACAAAGTAGGATGATGATATCAATATGGAAAACGATGTAGTAGGAAGAAACTCATGGAAATAGTATTCGCTTTATGGGGAAGGTAACTGCCAAAACAACTCCTCTGTTCTTCCAATCAAAACTCCTCTGTATTTCTCTGTTGTATCTCTTCACCACTCTTTTCCTTGCTCTCTACCATTCTTTCTCCTCCACCAAATGCCTCTTTAGATCCTCTCCTTTTGATCCAATCCAAACGCCACTCTTTTCTTACCCTCCTTCCTATGGAGAACACAAGTATGCTATCCCCACCGACCGCTCTTCTTGTTCCTCCCCTGTCTTCTTCTCTGGTATGTTGGCTTATCTCAGATTTTTTCTTCATGGATATTTTTTGTTTAAGTTTTGGTTTTGATGATTGTTTTTTTTATTTTTGACTAAAGGGTATTGGATTTTGTGACCAGATTATGGGATGGTGGTGGAGGAGATCCATAATTTGTGTAAGAATTTTTCAGCATTTTTACCGGCTCTGAGGTATTTACAGGGGAAAGGTGACACTTTTGGTGGATATTTGAGTACCCTGAAGAGAATTTCTTATTTCAATCATTCCAATAATGGCATTAAAGTCCCTTGTGGATTTTTCAAAAAGTTTCCTGTTAGTAATTCTGGTTAGTTTTTATCTGAATTCTCTAGAATTTGATATTTGGGGTCATCTTCTTCCCTTTTTTTCTTGTCTAGTTCAATTAATGAAATTGACGCAGCTTAAAACTTTATCCCTTTTTTTATTCAGTTTCTAGCTTGAATTGAGACCTGCCCTTGCATTTTCATTCCATTTTTGTGAAAATCCTCAATCCTGTCTCAAACTAATGCTACAATCTATCTCTATTTTGTTCATATATGGTTGATTCTCTTTTAATTTATTTGTTTATGGTATAATTCAGATCGAGTTGCCATGGAAAGCTGCAATGGAGTTGTTGTAGTATCTGCAATCTTCAATGATCATGACAAAATCCGGCAACCAATAGGTCTTGGATCTAAAACCATAGATAGTGTATGCTTCTTCATGTTTATAGATGACATAACCCTTAAAGGGCTTTATTATCACCAAGTAATAACACAAGACTCACCTGACTACAAAGTCGGAGTCTGGAGAATCGTTAAAGTTTCATCGAAGAAATTGTATGAGAATCCTGCAATGAATGGGGTGATACCAAAATACTTAGTTCATAGACTTTTTCCGAACTCGAAATTCAGCATTTGGATAGACGCGAAGGTTCAGCTTATGGTTGATCCATTGTTGTTGATACATTCTCTTGTTGAGTCACCGACCGCGGACATGGCTATATCAAAGCATCCTTATTATATTCATACCATGGAAGAAGCTATGGCGACGGCAAGGTGGAAGAAATGGTTGGATGTTGATGCTTTGACCAGGCAAATGGAGACATACTGTGAAAATGGGTTGCAGCCATGGACTTCCGATAAGCTCCCCTATACCACAGGTAATAATCTCATGCACTCCTCCTACTTTATTTAATTGTTTCTTGTGATGATAAATTTTCTTAGATGAATTTCTTTGTCAAAAAACTGTTTAGGAACACAAGGTGAAAATTGATATCTTTCCTTCCATTTCAAAGAAATTTTCTTTGCATAATATTGAATAAACCCATGCAGAAAAATGATGCCAGAACTGAGATGGAACATATTCCTTTTCCTCTAGTGATCAGTTTGAAGGAAGAGACAATTTATTTTTTAGATTCTCACACTAAAGTTGTTCATCAAGCTTTTATTACACAAGCTAAGCTGTCTGAATATTATATATAGTCTTTTTTCTTCATAATAGTATTTATGTAATGGTTTGGTTAGTTTTAGATTTAACCAACAAATTCATTATATTTCTAAGACGACCAACACAAGTAGAATTCACAAAAATACATAAAAAAAAATTACGCACAAATCCCTTGTTAAATGTGTATTAGGTTTATGATCATTAGAAATGATTATGAATTATAGAAAAATTAGCACTATAGTTTCATTTTGATTATTAGCTACCGACCGTATCATGACTGCTTGCGTAGTTTTGAAGTTCCTTGAAAGCACGTCCATGATCCCAATGGGATTAGTTTTTTGAATTTTGACCTTTAAGAAAATCCATGAATAAGTTTACTACTTACTAGTATTTATACGTATGGGTATTTTCTTTCTCTTCTTCCCCTCATGTTTTACCTTAAAAAAATAAAATATGTACCACATAATCTTATTGCAGTTTTGTTTGGCCAAAAAGAAAAATCTTATCACTTTGTCCTAAAACCAAGAAGACCCAACTTGACGGCTACTACATCATGTTCTTGCTATGAGATGTAGGAGTTTGATAGAAAGCTAAATGTATGGTCCCAAAAAAAGATGCAAAAGAAACGTCTTAATCAATAATGAATAATCGATGGGGTTCCAATAAGCATGTTATCATGTTATGCTTCCCTATCGAATAGCAATGCAGCTTTCAATGATGTTGAAGTTTACTGTTATATCCATATCAATCAGAATTCTTGAATTACCATATATATCTGTTTTTTCTTATGTTTGGTTGGCAGATGTACCAGATAGTGCATTAATCTTGAGGAAACATGGATTGGGAAGCAATCTTTTCTCCTGCCTTTTGTTCAATGAGTTGGAAGCATTTAACCCTAGGGACCAACTGGGTTTTGCATTCGTGAGAGATCAAATGAACCCAAAGCTGAAGTTGAACATGTTTGAGGTGGAAGTTTTTGAGCAGATTGTAGTGGAATACAGGCACAACCTTAAAAAATTGGGGAATATTGAAGCTAGGTCGTCTGCAGGGACCAGACCCAAAGGGAACAAAAGGGGCAGTCATGAAAATTTCTATTTGAATGGCAGCAGTTGCCAGAAGTATCTTTTGGAAATGTGGGGTGAATCCCATAGTTGATTTTGTCCCTGACTAAGGGGTCAAAGAATATGAAAGGAAAAAAGAAAAGGTCAAATAGAGGGAAAAAATGGAAAAAAAACAAACCAAACGACATTTCGCAGAGAAAAGCTGACAAACATAACAGGTTGAAGGGGTATCCAACTATTTTATTAATGATTTTTCGGCTGTGGCGGTGGTATTATTCTTTCGAAGCTTTTCAATTCAAGTTTCAACCAAGGCATTAAAATAAAGAGTAAGTGGGTGGTGTTTTTCGGTCGATGCTGCAAATTGGTGTACCCTTTGAAGTCGCTGTGGATTTACTGTTCACAAACAGCTTAATTTCAGAAGTTATTCAAGTAATTAATGAAGTTCCACATAAAAAATGGTTTGTTAATTGTCCTTGGGATTGGCCTCCACTCTTTTTTTTATCAGTTCCTCTTTTCCTTTTTCATTTTCTTGTAAATTTATATTCGGTTGTATGCAAAGTTATAAATTCTTTTATGAAAATATAGACTGTAAAATGGAAAATAATTTTTTTTTCTTTTCCTTAGTGTGCTTGATAGTAAAGATGCAAAAATTAAAAGAAAGTATTTTTTGATTAAAATATATTTTTAACCATTATTTGATAGAGTTAAAAATTAAAAAAGATTATGCTACCATTATAATTTTTAAAAATTAAGTTGAAAATGTAAACTCTATATGTGATGTACAATCTTGTAAATATGCAAAAATTTATACCTTGCTCTTGCTCATTTCCTCTTCTTTTATTTTTTTCAATTTGCAATAATTTCTTTTTTGAGTAAGTGTGAAAAATATTTATCTTTCCTTTTTTTTTTCTTTTTTCTTATTTTCATTCCCTATCAATTAGATCCAAAAAAATATCTTTCTCATTTTCTCTTTTATTTTTAGTATGGACTTCGAGCCTGCCATATTTTAACATGGGCTCCTGTTTCTTTTAATGGAGCTTTGAGTCCACATTGTCATATCAGATGGAGACCAAATTAATGCTATAATCAAACCTTGTCTAAGACCCCATCCAAATCGGGCCGGGTGGATAATCCATTCTTTGAACAGATATAAACGTTTGATTTGAAAATGATTAATTTTGATACGATCAAAATATGTTTTATATATATATATAGATCGATAAATAGATAGATAAAATAAAAAAACAACTAATATCTTTTGTTTTATATTTTCCATAATCCAGCAATATCCTTCACGTCTCACGATTTTTTTTGCCTCATAATTAACATATAATTGGCAAGCTTACTAGTGCACATACACTATAATTAATGGTGTGTACAGTGTGAGTCTTCATTTCCATTTCTTTATATGAAAAAAAAATCCTCATTTCCAATATCATCTTTAAAAATCCGTTTTTTTATTTTAGTATCAAAATAAAATCAATCAATGTGTGCATTAATAAATTGCTTTTAATTTCAATATAATAACATGCATTTCATTTGTTGCTTATAATAATACCATATAAAGAATGAAAAATAAATCATAGAAATGTGCAAATCTTTACAAACAAACTTCAAAATATATATAAAAAAAAAAAAGATAAAATTCTTTAAATAAAGAAATTATTAAGAAAATAAAAATAAACTGCCGTTTTAAATTCTCCCACTTTCTCTCCAAAAGGCAAAAGTGCCTATATATAAGGACACTGGGATCGTTACAATTTGCATTCTCACAAGTAATGAACATGGCATCAAAGCAAATAGCAAGTCGCCGAGAAGGGGCTGAGATCTACCATGGAGCGGCTCTTTGCAAGCAAAAAGAGCATGAGCTCCTCGATCACTTCCATCTGCCAAAAGGGTTGATGCCTTTGAGCAACCTCCTCGAGGTCGGGTTCAACCGGACCACAGGCTTCATCTGGCTGAAACAGAACAAGACTTTCAAGTATTGGTTCAAGTCCCTTGGAGCCTCCTCATATGGTCCCGAGATTACAGCGTTTATTGAGGATGGTCGGATGCGGAAGTTGACAGGCATCAAAAGCAAGGAGGTGATGATCTGGATTACTCTTTCTGATATTTATGTGGATGATGCTGATCCAACCAAAATCACTTTTGCTACTCCCATGGGATTGTCAAAGAGTTTTCCGGTGACTGCATTTGAATAGGAGGCAGAAGAGATGAAATAATTTTGTTTCCCACTGACTAGCAAATTGTTGAAAATAATATATCATGGTAAAGATTTTAAATTTTATTAACGGAATTAAAAGATTGTCACATAAATAACATGGGGCAATAGTTTAACTTCCTTTAATAAATTTTAAAAAATCCTTGCTGATATATATGGAATAATAATCAAATAATGTAATGAATATTTGTGGATTTATATTGTTTGTTTTGAATTTAATAAAATTATGCATCCCATTTGGTTGATATACTTGATATTGAATTCTTTCTATTTGGTTGATATATTAAATTCTTTGTTTTCTACTTTTTTTATTAATTATAATTCTTGTTTGCAAATGGAATAAATCTTATTAACATTTATAATAAAAAAATATTTTTACTGGAAATCATTCAATGAAATTAGAATTTTTATTTATCAATTGGATAAATTTTAATCATATTTTTAATAAAAGTATTTAAAATGGTATTTTAAAATTGTAATGAATAAATATATAACTTCAATTTATTCAGTTAAATGTTTTACCAATTCCTGTTCTTTTATTTATATAAATATAAATATAAATATATATATGCATATAAAATTAGAAGAAATTAGAATAAAGGGTAATGTTTAGGCTTTGAAGTATCGGCCATGTTGGTCTCTGAAAGCAAATTAAGTCTTTCCATGAAGGATTCTTGATGCTTAATTCAGCTACTCAGATGTAAAACTGGACCAACGACAATACAAATGGAAGTTAATTAACGCTCCGTTTAATTGTTACTTTTACTTTTATTTTTCTTAAAATAAAAATTAAAAATAAATTTGAAATAAAAGACAATAGCAAAAGCAAAAATAAAGTAAAATTATCAGCGTCTAAAAGATCAGTTGAAATTCGAAAAAAATGAAAATTGGGAAGGAGATAGGAAGAATTTTTTTTTTAATTTTTTAAAATTATGTTTAGTTCAATATTTTGATATTTGGCCAAAAAAAAAAAAGATGGCATCGTTTTCTTTTCTTTTTTTTTGATGAAAATCGTTTTCTTAATATTGCTATATTATTATTATTATTATTATTATTATTATTATTATTTGTATGAAAATATCATACTGCTTAATAGTTAGAAAACTTAGAAATACCCTTTTTATTTGTTTTATTTCATTTAAAATAGACATGTTTAAGAGTTAGGTTATTTGTCTAAGTTCAAAGGTCTGTCTAAATTTTGAGAGAGTAAATAAAAAATTAAAAATCGTTAAATAGATTTAAACATAATTTTAAAGTCTATTTAAATTTCAAGCTGAATTTTAGATAAAAAAAATTAAAGCTTGGGTTCAACCAGACCTAAATAAAATATATAATTAAAATATTATAATTATATGAGTATATATATCTGAAATTTTATTTTACAAAAAAAAATTTTATTATATAAATTAAGTTTAATTGGTGGATTTGAAATTTATTTTTTTAATTTGGGTCAGGTTTTTAAAAAAATTGAAGTCTAAAAATTGGATCAAACTTAAATAAACAAATAAATTATTAATACTAAATATAAATCTAATTCAACTCAAACCCAACCTGTGAACTTCTCTAATTCCAACTAAATAAGGGCAAATTAAAAATGTTTTCGTCCCTAGGTTTTTTATTATCCTTAATTCATCTTGTTTCAAAAAACAAACAATAGTGGTAGAAATATAAATATACAACATCACATCTCACGAAAGCGGATATTTATTATTTTAATTATTTTAATATTAAAATATAAAAAAAGTTAAATTATAACAATAATTTTAAATTAATAATCTAAGAAATTATACCGGAAAAAGTATTATAATAAGAAAAAGTTTGCTATATTATTGACTTATAATTACTTTTTTCCTTTTGAGATTCTTTAGAATAGATCTTAAGCAGTGAACTTGTGTTGTTGAGTAAGATAAACTATCATCAGCATAATTAGATTTATGTGTATTTATATTATTTAATAAATATATTAAATTTGAATTATATTAAACATTACGTATATTTATCCATAATTAATTAAATTCATTAATATCATAAATTCAAAAATGATTAAGTTAGTAAATATTTAGATTCATTTTGGATTTGATTCATAATTAATTAATAATAAATATGAATTTAGACTCAAAATTTTAAATGATACAAAAAATGAAGTACATACATCCACAATTAATTGAATTTTTGAATATCATAAATTCATAATGTGTAAATTCATGAATAACCTATTTATCACAAGGATTGATAAAATGAGATTAAAGTATATATATGTTAGATATTTGATTTAATCCATTAAGGCTATAATAAGACTATAAACATCACAGTTTGAGAAGTAATGAAAGGTAAACAATTTTTTAGGAGAAAATGTGCAAATTTATCATTCTATTTAAGTGAATGATTCAAATTTACTCTAAAATTTTCAATTGGTACAAGTTTTGCAGGACCCTTCTAATTTTAAAACAAATTTATCATTATATTTCTGATTTTAGAATAACTTTGATCAAAATATAACAATCGAAAAATATTTCATATACTATTTTGTTAAAAATTATTTTACAATTGTAAAAAAGGAAAATAACATGATAGAAAAAAGAACTATATTTATAGATAATACTACTTCAATCTAGATTAAGTATTTAAAGACAATGAATGATTTTTCGTAATTCCAGAACTCCTCATGCCTCACGATTTTTCTTTTCCTGCTTCATAATTAACATATATTTGACATGCTTATACGTTGCTTAGTGCACACACTTTAACCCAGTCATGCTGCCTTCATTTCCATTTCTTTATAGACAACAAAATCCTCATTTCCAAGATATCCGCCCAAAATTTATCCATTTTTATAACAGTATCAATAAATTTAATCAATCTCTAAAAAGAAAAATCACACTCCAACACGCATAAAATAAAGGGTTTTAATTTTAATTTTATTTTTAATATAATCCCACACATTATGTTGTTTTATAAATTACTATATAAAGAATGAAAACTAAATCGTTTCCAAACCTTTGACTTAGTGACTAAAGACATTTGAGAAGAGATCAAAGATTTGATTCAAAATCAGATTTTTCCCTCTCCTTATTTGTACTAAAACTTTCCCTTCTCATGATGTAACCAAAAAAATAAATAAATAAATAAATCATACAAAAGTTGTCAAAAGGTATAATGTCGTGGCTATATGTAGGGAAGGACCCTTTGAAGTGCTAGAATTGCAAACTCAGTTCCCCACAAAGGAACGAACATGGCTTTGCAGCGAATAGCAGCTCACCGAGAAGAGGCTGATATCTACCATGGGGCCGCTTTTTGCAAGCAAAAGTCACTGGAACTCCTCGACGAGTTCCGTCTGCCAAAAGGGCTGCTGCTTTGAACGATCTCGTCGAGGTCGGGTGCAACCGGACCACAGGGTTCGTCTGGTTGACATAGTTAGCAGAAGAGATTGGAGAACAAATTCAAGGCGATTGGGAAAAACGTCTCGTATGAAACCGAGTTGACAGCGTTTGAGGATCGCGGGATGCAGAGGTTGACAGGGGTCAAAACCAAGAAGCTGCTGATCTGGGTTACTATTTCTGATATTTCTGATAGTAATCCTAGCAAGATCACTTTTTCTACTCCCACGAGGCTGTCACGGATTTTTTCGGTCGCAGCTTTTGAAGCTGAGGGAAAAGAGGGGAAGTGAGGGTTTTTCTTTTCTTAGTATCTACATCTGATTACACTAATGTCGTTACCCAAAAATAATTTAATGAATATTTGTGTTTTTATGTTGTCTCAAACTCTTAACGTGTGTTTTCTCTTAAACGAGATTTTAGGTTCTTTTTTTTTTATCTATTGAAATTTAAAATTCCATTAGAAATAGTTTTCAAATGTCGAACGATATAAAGAACAACTGTAATCAAATGTTCTTCTCAGTTCTCAGTATCCCCTTTCCCTCCTAAAAATTTAACAGGATGAATTTGTATTTGGTGGGTTTAAATTTCCAAGAATTAGAGAATTAAACCAAACCCACTGGAAATGATGATTTCTAGGCTTTATGACCGGAGTTGGGTAACATTTTAGCAAGACAACGTACCTTTTTTTGGCAGCCACAAATAAATATGAAGCCAATAAAAGACAATAAAATTAAGCATATATGAACCTCTTTGATGTGGCTAAAGTTATTGGTTATTTCTCACAGTTGCAAATATTATCAAGGTCATCATAACATAAACATTCTAATTTCTAGATTAATAAACAAATTGATTTGTTCCTTCTTTACTAGAAAAGAAGAAGAAAGAACATGAATTAAGATCAGTACTGCTGTTCTTTTGACATACAACTCTCCAACTGGGTTGATTTATACGAATTGAATCGCAATTGCTAGGAAAGAAACCCCTATTTTCCACTTCATGCATAGAGTACACGCTACGAAAAAGCTCCTCTTCCACGAGACAAGAGCCCTGCAAACGATGCGAATTCACATGCCTCCTTCCAATTTTCCCGGCTAAGTATTACGTTTACAAATAAATCACCATCTTGCATGTAATAGACTAAAAACATACTTCCATAGTGTCAAAGCAACAAACATCTTAGTCGTAGGATTGGGGTATCTTAACTGATAGCCATTAATGTTTTCTTTATATTATATATAGGTTTTCTAGAATTCAAACTGAATTTGACGAATGGATTGTTGAAAGTCAAAAGGGTATCACTTATTTTATGACCAAGAAAAGCAGTATCACTTAAAGCCCTTGAACCAGCTTGAACTTATCTTCCTATATATAAATGGCATTTTTTTATTATTACTTATTGCTGGATTTGTCAGCATTTGAACCTAAGCCATATTTCTCAAGGGTTTAGTCCAAAGGCCAGTCATTTAGGTAAAAGACATTGTTAATTCCGCAATATGTAACCTATTATCGAGATTGAAACTATTTACGATCGATGCTTATTTTTATCTAAAGGTCAAATGCATTTTAAATGATGAGAAATTAATAAGGTAAATGTGAGTAACTTATAGAAACCTGTAGCTTATTGTCTCAAATCTCCCATATACTTTTCTCAGAATGAGAATATATTAAAGCAAAGATGAAAAAGAAAAAGCATATATTCTGATATTAATATCAAGAAAATAGTCAACCCAAGTAATTCAAATTAAAAAAAAATCCCTAGTATGTAGTGAGAATGCATGGAAATACAGAGGCAAAATTAAGTAAAAGGATTTCCCGAGAACTCTAAAATCTATGTATATACTATTTCCACTCTTATTATATCCCTCATTACAAGATCGGTATGGTATTGTTTTCGATTGATCAAGACTTCAAAGAAAAAGGGAAAAAGAAAAAAAAAAAAGATTAAGAGATATTTTCAAAAGGAAGTAATGAAAAGCACAACAAAATCCACTTGGACTAACCATGCATCTTTATCTGTTCAGTTTTCAGATGCAAATGTCTTGAGGGTTCTAGGGTTTTGCTGTAGTAGTGGAGGGACCGCAGATAAGATCATGGGCAACCGAAGAGTCAGGCTTGTCATTGTGGCATGGAGATGAACCGGAAGGAGGGACAAAACCCTTGGGAAGCATGACAAAGAAAGGCCTGGTTTTGAAGTTGTTCTTGTTGAACTTTCTCCGTTTCATCATCTTCCTCTTTCTCTTCTTGTCGAATTCTGGTTTGTTCAAGAAGACGGGTGTCGTGTTCTTGACGCGCAACACTCGGTACGCCGCAGCTGGTTGGTTGGAAGGATCATGGGTATTAATCTTGGGTAGGATTTCATTGCAAGAGGCAGGAAAAGAAGAGGAGATGAGGAAGAAGGCGAAAAGGATGAGAAGAAAAGCGAAGAACTGCTTCAAGGTTTGATTATTGAAACCCATGAGAGCACAGAGTTTGGGTTGTGATGCATTTGTATTTGAGAAAATTAGGGAAACTATAAACGGTCAATCAATTTAACCTCTGAGATTTGGAAACTGTTAATCCCGAGAGGTTTGTTGCTGCTTTTTAAGAGAGAATAGGAGAGTTTGAGAAAGGTCAAGGCGTGAAGCGAGCCGTGGAGGTTTATGATATTACTAGGCGTCAGTCAAGGTGTGTAAAGCCTTTATATGTGGTACTAGGGTCGATAAATATTAGAGTTTGGGCTCTGATTTCTATTTTCCTAACCTGTATTAGAGCCATGATTATAGTAGTAATAATATAGTAACAGTTGAAGGTAGATCTTGATATTAAGTAAATTTAGTGATTCATGTATTTATGTTATATAAATTATTAAAATTTATATATTTATTTTATGTTTTATATGAAAATTATGTGTCAAAATTTTATCAATATAAAAATATAAAATTTTTTTTTTATTTTGTTACACTCATATATAATTATTAAAAAAAAATTTTAATTGTGTTACTTTCATTTTTTTTGTCATATTCATATTGTATCATCGTGTCGTATTTTAGATTATCAGGTTTAGTATTAAGATCAATATTAATTATTGCTTAAAAAGTTAAAATATAATGTCAATATATAGCTTTAGCTTCATTTTATGCTTAATTATATTTAAGAAAAATGATATATACATTTATTTAATACACTCGTTTCAAACATTCATATAATATATAATTTTTCAAAATTTTATTTATAATCCATAAAAATTTTAATATTTTTTACTTAAGTCCCTAAAATGTTAACTATGTAAAATAAATGTATGAGATGAACGATGTAATATTATCTTAAAATTAATTAAGAATGTAAAGCAAGCATATCCACCTTCTAATCTATGATTTGTTTGGTAAACCATTTTTTATTATTCCTTTTCATTAAAAAACACTCGTATGCAATGAATCTAGATCCAGTTACAATTTCACAATGAATGTGCTCAAGAAGGGTAGTTAAGAGGAAATATGTTCTAAGGTCTACGTAGGTCGTTTAGCCCGATGGTTTGGGTTAGGCTTTGAATAAAAAATTTAAGTTCAAGCTTAATTTGACTTGAGATATTATTCAATTAATAAAAAATATTTTTATTTAATTTAAATTTTAAAATATTAAAATATTAATATTTTAATATATAAAATAAAAAATATGACACATTCGAACATTTGATATAATATTGATGCACGAGCTCTCTTATTCAAAACTTTTAATTTTCGAATATAAAAATGATATATAATATTTTTTTAATTTTACTTGTAAAATTTAAAATTTAATTTAAAAGTTTATGAAATAATAGTTCCATAAATTAACTACAACATTGCATTATTTGAGTTTAATTGAATTTATTATGTGATCAAAATCACATGTAGCTACCATAAATTTTTATAATGTAATAACTTTGTTGTACCTATTTGTTCAATCAACAATATCAATTATTGTGATTGTCAAATCAATACATGCTCGATTATCACATCATCACAAGCAAGAGTTGACATTGAAGCTGCTTGCCACGAAACGAGCTCGTTCTCGCCAAAAAAATACTTGTCTACCTACATTTACTAACGTTCTAATCCCATCAAGACATTATTTTATAGATCGATTGACTTCTAACTTGTCTGATACCATTAAATATAATTCAAATTTGTTTGAAATTATTAATTGTAAGTCACACTCACTCATACGAGTCTTTCCATAACGAATCATGGTAATAGGTTAAAGGGGCCTAGGCTCCCCACAAAATTTTTAAATCTCCTCATACATATATTAAAAAATTAAACGGCCCTCATAATAAAATTATTAATTTTATTTATTTTTGTTTCATAAGTTAGTTTTATTCATTATAATTTAAGATGTATTAAATCACATTATTATTTTACTATTTATTGTATCAACCAATCATTACTTACTAATTTAAAAAGGTTGTCATAAAGATTAAATCACATTATGTAAATTTAATAAAAACTAAAATGACTTTCTAACTTTCTCAATAAAACTTTAAATATTCAATCAAATACCAAATATGTTTTTCTTTTTCTTTTTAGTTGACTACAATTCCTTCTTTTGCTATAATTCTTCATTTTTAATTCTGCCTTAACTCTTTTTCTCTTTCTTTCATGTAATTTTTTTTAATAACATAGTCCAATTGAAACCATTTTATAAATGGTTAGAAAACAACCAAACCTCTTATCTTAAAGTTTCAATTTTATTCTTTTAATGATATATTTTATTTGTTATTTTGATGAGGAACATATATATATTGTTTAATAATTGATTTATTTGTATTTTTGTTAAAAAAATGGCCCACAATTTTAAAAAGTAATTTATTTGATATATTTTATTTTTTTATACATTGATTTATGAATCGATAAAATTTATAATTTTGAAAACTTATATATTTTGTTAGTATATTGCTTGCATATATATATTTTTTATATATATTAATAATATAACAAGATATTTTTATGAAAAAAATAAAGTTCAATCTAATATAATTGGTCCCTTCAAAATTAACTCTAATTTTTTCCTTTCATATATAAGGCAAAAAGAAGATTAAGGTACAGTAAGAATTAATAATATTTTCTCTTTAAGTTTCTTAAATACTTTTGCAATTTTTCTTTTTCCTCATCTAAAACCTAAAATCTAAAGAACTAACTTTGGCGCTTATAATCATTTGTTCCTACTACAAGTCCAAAACATCCTTTATACTATCTCCAAACGCATTTTTTTTTATTGATACCCAAAACTTCATCAACAACTTCACTCTTAATATAGTTAAGCAATTTGTAATTAGCTTTTTTAATGGAGGTGTTTATGGGTCGGGATCATATTTGATATTAATAGTTTATATAATTGTTAAAAATATCGAGTTTAAAAATTTTTTTAAGTCTAGTCCAAATTAAAAAAATAAATTTCAAAGTCACACATTAACTTAATCTATATAATAAAATTTTAAAAATATCCATTTAAAAATAAATTAAAAATTAAAACTTTACATATATATATGTTCACACCATTTTATTTATTTTATTTTATTTTATTTTTTTCTTTTTTTTTCTACTAGCTTTTCTGTCGGTCGTCGGCAGTCGTATTGTCAGCCACCTGTAAGCCGCCCAACCCCTGACAGCCACCAACAGCCGTTCTGACAGTTGGTGGCCGCCTTAATACTAGGCCACCAAAATCTCAGATTTTTTAAGATTTTGATCTTCTTTTTGCTCTATAAATAGAACAATGAAACCGATGAAAAAAAAAGATAAAAAAGCCTAGAGACCCTGCAAAAAAAAAAAAAACAGATAAAAAAAGATATTACCAAGTTAAAAAAAAAAAGCTTCTTAAAAAAAAAAATCAAGCACCAAAACACAAGCAAAATCACAATCCTTGGAACATGAACCACAGTGTCAGTCTATAAAAAATATAAAAAAATCAGAAAAGCCACTTTGGTCGAATCTTTCAGGTCAAATTTATGTGGTTCAAGGCCTCTTTTTATGACACTAAGCTCGTATTCGTGTTTAGGGGGTGAAGAGAAGATTCTGAGAGATTTAAAATTTTTTCGACGATCGATAGACGGTGACTGGTGACCACCAACGACAGTCGATGCGACGGAACAATCGTCTGATTCTGGGTTTTAGAGAGAGAGGTGGAGCATCTGAGAGGAAAAGAGAGAAAAAAAAAGACTGAAAAAAAAGTTGATTTGGCCTTTAAATAGGCCTTCAAATGACGCTGTTTAGGAAGATAGCAAAATGACTCCGTTCGACCCAGAGGATCCGTGCGTCGACCCGCAACTTGACCCGGGATTCGTGCACCGACCCGATAACCCGTTCTCCCTTTTGCCTCTCGATCGATCCAGTTGAGCCGATCCAAACCGAACCAAACTGGTGTCGAACTGCTGAACCCAAACCAACTGGATCAGACCGGATCGAACAGTCGAATCAACCTAGATCGCGTTGATCGGATCGTTGACCGATCCGATTTAGGTAAACAAAACTTTTTTTAAAAATTTTTTTAAAATTATTTTTTTATTTTAAATTTTATTATTAATATTTATGCATATAAAAATGTTTAAATTTACTAAAATAAATTTTTATTATTTTATAATAATAAATAATAATAAATAATAAAATTTATAATAAAAGTTTTTGATAAGCATAATTAAATAAAAATAAAAAAAATAAAAAAAAATTTTTATCCAATGATGAGATTCAAAGGTACTCCAAGTAGTGATACTTATGAAATATCTAGATAAAAAGATTTTTTTTAAATACTACCAGTGTATTGGAGTATTTATCAAAAGTTTTCAATACAATAACAAAATTTCTTTTCTTTAATAAAATAATAAAATTAAATAATAATAATAACAAAATAGTAATAAAAATGAGAAAAAAAAGAAATTTTATCCAATGATGAGATTCTAAAAGTATTCCGAGTAGAGATGCTTTAAGAAATCTCTAGGTGTGAAGATTTTTTTAAATATTACCAGTATATAGAAATATTTATATAAAATCTTCAATATAATAAAAATTTCATTTTCTTCAAAGTTTTAAATGAAAAATTAACAAAAATTAATAAAATTTCTAAATAAAAAATAAAATGTGTGTATTAACGTATTATCATTTGTATTGCATGCATTGCATAATTCTTTTAAGAAAAATAAATTTGAGCCTCCGATGATGAGATTCTAAGGTATTCCGATAAGCGATGCCTAAAAAATCTCTAAGTGAGAAAAGTTCTTCTAATGTTACCAACGTACTGAAATATTTTAAGAATTATTTTAATAAAAAAGTTATAATTTATTTTTTTTGAATAAAAGTGAAACAATAAATAAAAAATAAAAAAATATTTTTCAAACACCGAAAATAAGATTATTGTTATTAAAATCATAGGATAACACTAATTAAGTGGTATCGTTTCTAAATGGGCATTGTGGTGTGCTAATCATTCCCCACATGTAACCAACTCT